CGTGTACTTGGAGCAAAGATCACTGAACAGCCTTGAAACAAACTCCTTATAACTAGCACACGAATAGTTGGGCTCATTTATTCTACTCTCTCTGGAAAGCAATAAAGGAAGCTGTTGATCGAAAAGCGGCGGCGCTTGTGGAGTTGAGGTAAGTGACCCACTCTTGAATTTTCCACTATTGCTTTATTAGCCTGGGGGCACTTGGTCAAATTCGGATTCAATGGGTGGATAGGTAATTTTTAACGTTTCGAGACCATCTCAGCCCTTCGAGAACGACGAGTTTGTCGAAAAGTCGGCCTGAATACATATTCTAGCAAAACTTGTTTGGCGCAGAAACAATAAATAATTGTTGGAGATTACATGCCCGGGTTTCATGAAAGCCGAACATGGATAATGTTATCACCAATCATGTAATACTATTTCTCGAATCACGCTCGAATCACACTTTTGCCTTCAGCGGATGAGCATCCTTTAGAATATCAGGTTACAGCTAATGTATCGAGTTGTGAGATCCTTCGTGAAATGCGTCATATGGCGTAGCATAGGTTTTACAGTAATCGTATACTTACGATCAATTCCATCCTACTGTGTATAATTCGCTAAGCATGTATGTGAGGTCTGTGTGTTTGTCACGAAATTCATAGCGCGCCACCAGCAGTCACCTGGAGTTGATTTCAAGATATGATATAGGGGTGGGACGGGAACATATTTGGTGGGGGACAGAAAGTGATAACTACTGATAAGATCTGATAAGGGACGTTAGAACGCGGAAGTCACGAAATGCATGGCGCGCGACCCAGTAGCAGTGAGGCGTTGTCTTCCGAATCATGTAGCGGGTGGGACGAACATACTTGGTGGGGACCAGAAAGTGATAACAGCTGATAGGGGCTGATAAGAAGCGTTGGAAGGAAAATGTCACGACATTGACAGCGCAAGGCCCAGCAGCATTGAGGCGTTGTTTTGCAGATATGATATAGGGGGTGGGACGGGAACATATTTGATGGGGACCAGAAAGTGATAACAGCTGATAGGAGCTGATAAGAGCATTGGAAGGCAAATGCCATTGAAGTTCTCATACAGATGTGCGACAAGAAAACACTTCACTTCCTCTCCAGTAGGCCGCTAATCTGCTCGAGCTTCCTAAATGGTCAACCAGGGCGAGAATGTATGGAAATACAATAAGTTGCTACTAATTCTATCTCATCACCGGCATAAGAAGTTATTCGACCGCTAACCATCCCAATATCCAAAGCATGGTAGATGTTTACGCTGAGGGCTGATAATAAGCAGCCCAAGTAATTGTATTAGTTATCCAAAGGTCATTCGGCTGCTAGACTTTGTTAGTTCCAGAAAAATGATGGATGTTTATTGGTATTGACGAACTATGAGAAATTACTGCTTTATCATCTGATTTCCTTAATACCATCAGTCAAATCCATTGAAAGCAGTATGTTACTCAATACAATAGCCCGGCTATACTCAGTTTCAGTGAAGCTTATGTAGAGCGCGATAGCGGGAGGAGCAAAACTGGTAACTTATAACTCCAAACATATAGCCTTGATGGATATTCACGATTGGTCGAAATTCAGATTATTAAGCCGTTAGTAACTTTGTTTCTCTCGATGAAGGAATAGGAATGCACGGTGCCCGTTTGCTGACCACTTTGCTCAACTGACTAAACAGTCAATTGTCGTTGAGTTATATCAGTGTTCCTACCCATCATTACCACTTCCTGTCATAATCATCAACATTCTATCACTCTAAATCGAGCGAGTGGGACACAACGCTTGCGCAGCCTCGAAACGTAGCACCAGTTCAAGCAGTAGCCGTAACTCAGAGTAGCAAGGAATGGCATTCTGCAGCGAAACGTCTGCTAGTTGCAGCGTACTGGGGTTTTGAGATTTTTGTGCACTGCGCCTTCGCCTGTGCTACGACTTCGAGTTTGACTTCAACAGAAGCATCATTCATTTCTTATTTCGACAATTTCAATTTATGCGATCGTATCCTTTATCTTCCGTGTAATCAGGGTGGATATCGGTCAAGGAAGGTCGTATTTGTTTTTGTGGAAGGTGGAGGAGGGTGGGTCGTATTGTCGGTATCAGTATCGAACGAGGAGTGGAATCCAGGTTTGAGAGAAGTGGAAGGGGCGTCTTCCCATTTATCTCTCATTGAAGCCTGAATGCCTAGGAAACGTAACAGGATTCATTCTTTGCAGGTTTCACATCAAAGGAAACGAAATAAAATGGAAGGAGAGCAACATTGTGTCGAATTCGTTCCGACCCATGTCCTCACAATCAGTAGCATAGACCGCACGGTCTCGTGGCTATACGGGCTGCGGAATTCCCGTAGACTAGGGCTACAGGACTCTGCTTGATCGATGGTTCTATGTACGGGCCAGAACGGCACTTGAGTTTTGACTGGAGGGCGGCCGAGCCTGGAACGGAGCCGTCAATGCTGCCAGAGAGGCGTTGAAAAGGAAAGAGCAAGCAAGTGAGGCTGAGCCGTGATTATAAGAATTCCCACGTTTAATCACCGCTTTCGGTTCTTATCAGCAAATCATCATGCACACACAACACCTTTCAATTGACTTAAAATACGAGCGAAGACCGACGGCATGGCGTATACTCGACCGAAACCAAATAGCGCTGAGCGTATCTAGTTGTATCAGCGACAGCGAAGCGATGCGTACCTAAGGCATTTTGAGAGGTTTCAGGAAATTACTTAGCAATGATGTGGAAGGAATCCGGTTTTTGAGTGAAGAAAAAATTCCTCGATATTTCCTCGGCGCAGATTCCCCAACTTTTCGGAACAAGAGAGGAAATCATTTGAAAGAGCAAGTCTTCTACTTTCTAAAACTGTCCACACTTTTCGAGCAATTGAGAAATGAGAGAGTAATCGTCTTGAAAACAGCAAAAATCTGCATGAAAATTTCGAGTTCCTCGACGTTTCCTCGACGTGGAAAATCTCACTGAACAGGGTATCTTCAGCAACTTCAAAGATAGTAAAAACTGCAATCGAAGCTCTTTCGAAGCACACAAACAGTTCTCCAAAAGATCAAGTTTTGAAAGTTATTAAGGTTTGAAGCATAAGGGGAGGAGGCAAATTTTCGAGATAAATCGCTCCACCGCGTGAGCCGCGCCGCAGCCGCGTGAGGAATCAGCTGCCCCTTTAAATTCGGTGACACTTTCACTGCTAGGTCCTATTCATCATTTTTCTTCATTCCTGTCGATCATGCTTCGTGTAACAAGGGTACACGTGAACAATCGCCGCTGTCACAATAGGAGAATGTTTTGTTTTTCAGGATTCCTTTGTTAATAGTAGCTTTCGCCGTAGTCGCTGAATAGAGGTGAGTTCTCCCAGTTTGTCATTGACACACAACTGCTAATGAATTTTTTAAAGATTAGTTTGCTTTCACCATCGCTTTGTTCTGCTTTTGATCAGTGAGTGTTTTGATTTCGTGACTGATTTACTTAGGGGGTCGTACCGAGACTCCGCCTTTTAGGCGGAAGTCCTATCACAGTTAGGTTCTCGACACGATTTTCACCCGGCGTGTAAAGTGTTATCAATAGAGCATGATGTTTTTGTTTTTTCGGTTATCGGATTCAATGCAAACGACCTCCTGCTGCTCATCTGCGGTAGAAAATTGACGCACAATCAAGAAGTTCCATTCTAGTATGCTGACAGATTTCTCTGACTTTTCCGCATCATTCAGTACCTCGACTTTCGCTTTTTCGCTTTAAACCATCTGAGATTCTACCGTAATTGCTGGCTTCAATCATTTGTATGAGCGCAAGATAATCACAATGTCTCATAATGTCACAAGCGCAAAAGTGCAATAAAACTTAAACAGTCCGCATTTACACGCTACCTACAGTCGGTATCTCGAAGTCTGATTGGGCGTGTCACCGGAAATGACGTGGCAGCCACCGCACTTGATAGATGTGTGGATAAATACTCCGCCAGATATCAGCAAAGCGTGTTGGAAGCAGCTTATCCGCGCAACTTCTATCAAGTGCGGTGGCTGCCACGTCATTTCCGGTGACACGCCCAATCAGACTTCGAGATTTGGACTGTATATGTCTCACTAGTGCACAGTTCTGCCCCAAGCGACCGCCAGAACCAGTCTTACTCGCATGAGAAGGAAAATCGCATTAATAAAACTCAAAATGGAAACAGCTCTTCTTCCCCGGCCCTCCGGCTGCCCCTTCAGCAACATTTTCATAGCCGAGAGTGTACTCAAAAAGTTTCCGAACGACCGCCGAGGATCACATTCACAAAACATTGATATCGCAAGGCATACAAACTCCCTAGTTTTGATTATGGTTTGTTCAATCCGTCAACTGCTTTAACACTTGACTTTGCTGGACAGAGTACCGACACATCCACACATCGGCACACGCATTGCCGAACAGGCACTCTATGTTGGAGGTCTTGTAATATGTAGAAGGATTAAAAGTCACATGGCCTAACACGGGACGCGTAGATTATATCACTTGGAAAAACCCTCGACTACCTCCCTGAACGACGCAGGAATTCCGACAAGTCTCACCTTCCGACTTTGATCAACATTATCAGCTCTTTCCAGTTGTTACTACTTACCGCACATACCATCGATGTTTCCGTTCCGTCCACTTTGTACCCAATGAGGGTGAGAACCCTGCAGTCAGACCGAACGAAATTCATTTTTCCGGTCATCCCCATACATAACTACTTAGAGGATCACATATGGTGGATCCCGGACTCTAATCCCGGATGAAACAGCCCTACACAATAAGTCCACTAAATTTATCGGCTGCTCTCCCGCCCATGTTTATGTAGTCTGAGTCGCATTCAATTCAAAGGCCATCAAGAAATTTTAAATGAGACTTCAGTAGAATCCGACTGTAGCAACGTTGGGCAGTTCAGAAAGAGATTCGTCAACGATGAGTGTTTTACCATATCCTTCGTTTCTTTCTTATAATAATGCCTACTGGGTAGTGAGTACGCGCCAGTGAGCGCTAATCTTTTGTAGATGATAAAATGAAACCTAGCCCTGAAATGGGCTGCTTGCGTAGAAAATCTACGATTTCATGTCTGCATGAAACCAAAACCCCAAAATGAACCAGATTTCTGGCCACCACGTTTAGAGTTCCATCGTGTATGTGTGAACCAAAGTTACTGTGCCCAATCTGTCAAAAAATAGAGAAGCATTGCTCAAGAAAAGCACTAGTCATACCTTTAGTGTTAGCGGTAGTCCCTTGATCGATCGACATTATTGTGAAAATTACCAGAATAATAGGAATAGTGACCTAAATAGTGCTCAGAAAAAACGATGGACAGAAATGTCAAAACGACTTCAAGAAAAGCAGTGAAAGGAATTTCTTTTACTACTGTTCTGCTGGAAGTCAACCACAATGGCTATGGAATGGAGTCACTAAATGCATCTACTTCCAGTGGGGAAGTGAGGAATGACGTGACATCTTTGAATGGAGCAGCCGCTCTACATGAAGAGTGCAAATTGAGGACTTCACTCTATCTAGGGTAAAAACTACAAATATCTTACTCAAAGAGACAACCATCGTCGACTATTTGACAATCAAGTGACAAATGTGGTGAAGAAAAAAATCAGCGTTCTCACATTAAACAACAAGTTTAACACCTTCTTTCATAATTTGCATTCTCTACGCTTGAATCTCAACTCAAATTCGCTTCAATTCGCGGCCAGGGTCAACCGTCTGTTCGAGCTACCGAACGAGGTAGTCGCGTTTTGCTCATGTGGTAGTGGAAAGGTGTTCGCAAACCCGGGGCCCGCAGCAGAAATCGTGGCGATGTCGTCACTGGTAGGTGAGTGGGCGAGGAACGCGCTGGGAGAGAACATGAGTTCGTGGAAAGTATCGAATAGAAGAATGAAAGGTTTAAATTGAAATTTGCCTTGTATAACTCTTACAGATCGATGGGATGAATTCCTAGCTCGCCAGTGGCTACAAAGAGAATAACCAGCTTTTAAATTTCATGCGGTCTGAATGAATATAGAACGCATCTGCGGACTAAGGCTTGCATCTCTACACGACGGGGACGAAAATGGCTGGCTTGCACAGGTTATAGAAAGTAGAAACAGGCTATCAAAAGCTTTCGCAACTTTGAACCAGGAAAAGCGTTTTGGCGCTTTCCACGAAAATTCTTGGTGGCAACCGATTTGAATTCATTTTATCATAAGGGGGAATATTGTTCCGGTTAAATTTTAATTCATTTTGATCAAATATATGAAGAAAATCAAGGAAGTGCGACAATATTAAAAAACTGACTATTCGAGGCTGAAGGAGCAAGACCACCCAAAAAGTGCGGAGGTGTGATTTTTTCCTAAACACGGCTTTCAAGAAACGATCAGGTACTGTTCGAAGGGGGAAACCCTGTGCTTTTTTTGTCATGCCAGAAATTTGCCACAGAATTGAAAAATGAGAAAGCTACGGCCACCGACACCTCAAAAACCCATGTTCGCACGGAAAAAGTGCGAATGTGAAAATTTCAAGAAAAAAACCCAATGGTCACAGAATATGCAATACAATCTGGGTAGAAAACAATTTGAAGTTTCTGGACTTTTTTGGAGCTATCCGATAAGTTGCATTTGAAAGTTATGACCTTCCCAACGTGGAGGTGCGCCTTGATCACCATAATCTTGATCTCTCACTCCTGATGAGCGGCGCACTCTAGGCTAACTCCGTTGACACCTTCTCCACATAGCCGTAGTTGCTCGAATACTTTTCGATTTGTAATCTAATGTTCATATCCTTGCTCACTAAACAAGCAAGGGATTCACTGGGACCCTTAGGAAGGAGGGGGATCGGAAAAATCTCGAAAGTGCTAACGCGACAGTTGACCCAGTTCGCGACCGATTCTAATAATTCTGTGAGTATGCTTACCGCAGCGAAGCAACAGTGAAAGTTGGGCATCAGATACAGTCTTTTCTTCAGTAATACATAATACTGTTGATCAAGTGAGCATATCCCTTAATGACTTCTTTCTTTTTGAGATCAGCGATAAATTATTGTAGTACGCACCATGTTTGCCCTCAGGCTCTTCTTCAAGTTGTTCGTACTCGTTTTCTTCCTTCAAGTTGAATACCTCAATCCTGAACGAGTGTTTGCTTAGGTATTATTCAGAATGACCGAGAAAGCAAAACAAAACAGAAAAGGAAAACGAAACACGCAGTCAGTCGGAGTCCTGCTGCTCTCGGGCTCCTGGGCGCTGAGCATTGACAGAGCATTCGAATGCCTTCAAGTTCTCGACAAAAACGGCAGCGGCCCTGATCTCCTCTCGCCCACGAGATCCACTCCCTTTTTGCACGTATTGAGAATTCCTCATCATCCCCTCCACAGCTCGTTCGGTAATGGTGTTTGCCTGCTCATCCTGCTTGTTCGGCGTTAAGCTCTCTGTGGCGTACGTTTAGAAAACTGAGAATGTAGAATAGTGATAATCGTTGAGGTAGATTTTCTTTTTTGATTCTTCTTTTAGTCATTTTAACCTTCCGCCTATTCTAGCTTGTGTATGAGCATTTCCCAGATATCATAGTTCTGTTTTCAAGTAGAATGATCTGAGCACGTCTCGTGATCGAATGGCCGAAGAACGAGCGCGACGACAAAAATATTGGAAACGGCATAAAATTATTTGGCACAGAACAGGTAGACTGATCCTTCTGGATAGCACACAAATGCACCCTAACGCGGGCATAAGTTGATATGCCGAATGTTTACTGGTCGATAAGTAAGCTACGTTTGTACGCTAAAGATCGCCCCGCCGAAACCGAAACTAACCGAAAGGTGTGGGCCAGCGAGAATCAAGTGGTGGCGACTGAAGGAAAAAGAAGCGGCCGTCGTTTCCCGCATTCAATTACCAGCGGTAACGACTGTCGACGAAACCTGGAAAGGTGCTGCCGAAGAACTCGGATAGCTCGATCCGAGCTCGGGATGACGAAGCCGGGGCGGCGGAGAATTGACAAGCAAACGTGGCTGTGGACGGACCAGGTCAGAGAGAAAGTGCGCGAAAAGAAGAAGCGGTACCACGCATTTCTTCACGAAAAGACAGCTGAGAACTGGCGGAGCTATCAGATAGCGAAGAAAGAGGCAAAGAAGGCCGTTGCTTCTGCGAAAGCAGCTCATTTTGCTGATATCAGTAAGAAACTCGAGTCGCGCGATGGAGAGCGGTACGTTTACCGACTTGCAAAGACCCGATCGCCAGATATAGAAAAGTTCTTCGGCATAAATGACGAGAATGGCCACCTCTTGACGGACCGCAAGAAAACACTGAAACGATGGCGTGACTACTTCGAAAACATCTCAACAGTCGAATTTACTCATCCCGCCATCCCCTGCGCTCCGCCAGTACACGGTCCCGTTCAGAAGATAACCGTGGAGGAGACCATCACGGCCATGAAGAAGATGAAATCAGGCAAAGCAACTGGTCCTGACGACTTAGCGGCGGACTTGTGGAAATCAAAATGCTGGAATCCTGCAGAATGGTTGACGGAGTTCTTCAACCAGATCGTTGCAGAGAAGAAGGTGCCTGAGAGCTGGCAACAGAGCACGACGATTCCTATCTGGAAGAAGAAGGGCAGTCCAGGAGACTGCACTAGCTATCGTCCAATTCGCCTGCTTTCGCACAGCATGAAAATCTTTGAGCGAGTTCGAGCTGACCACCAACCAGTGTGGTTTTGTGGCTAGTTGCAGCACCATCGATGCCATACACGCCGCTCGCCTTCTGCTAGAAAAGCATCGCGAAAAACAAAGACCGGTGCATCTTGCCTTCCTAGACTTGGAGAAGGCTTTCGATCGCGTTCCGCGTGACGTTATATGGTATGCCTTACGACAGCATGGCGTTCCCGAAGAGCTTATTGAGTGGGTGCGCATCCTTACTCGAGTCCAAAGAGCCGAGTGCAAACGGCAGCAGGCACATCGACGGATTTTCCCATCTCTGTCGGGTACACCAAGGCTCTGCGTTATCCCCACTCCTATTTGTTGTCGTCATGGATGCCATTACAGAGATCTCCAGAAGCCGGCTCCATGGACGCTTCTTTATGCTGATGACGTGATGCTCGCTAGCGAAGATAAAAGCACGCTCGAGCAACAGGTGCAAACCTGGTCCGACCGTCTAGCTATGTTCGGGCTCAGGTTGAACGTCAAGAAAGACTGAGTACTTGACCACCGATTCGAGTGAGTTAGGCTCTATTAAGATCAATGGTACTGAGCTCACACGTACAACATCATTCAAGTATCTTGGATCAGCAATCGCGTCTGACGGCAGCCTGGTCTTGAAACGAATTCTCGCGTGAATGCAGCCTGGTCGAAATGGCTCGATGACTGGCGTTCTCTGCGATAAGAACATGCCAGAACGTCTCAAATCTAAGATCTATAGAACCGTCATCCGGCCGGTCGCGATTTACGGTGCTGAGTGCTGGCCTACGACTAAAGAATCGAAGCCGTCTCAGTGTGATGGAGACAAGATGCTGCGCTGGACAGCCGGAGTCACACGATAGACCACATTCGAAACGATGTCATCAGAGAGCGATTCGGTGTGGCTCCAATTGTCGACAAGATGCGCGAAGCCCGTCTTCGATGGTATGGTCATGTCCTTCGCGCGAAAGATGACAGTGTCCGTAAGATCGGTCTCAACCTTGACGTGCCCGGAAAGCGGCCTAGGGGACGCCCGAAGCAGCGATGGCTCGATACGTTGCACGAGACTTGAAGTCGTTAACATCCACCCCGATCAAGCATTTAATCGGGAAAAGTGGCGTCAACACATCAGAAAAGCGGACCCCGCCTACAAGCGGGACAGACGCTAAAGAATAAGAAGAAGAAGAAGTAAGCTACGTTTGTTCGACAAAGAGTACAATAAATGAACTGTAGAATATAAAAAACGAACCTGCGATACACGTCCATTACTGTGCACAATGTAATGTAATATTCTGAAATTCCAAGCTTGCTTTTCTTCCTTTCAAGGCCACGCAAAAGTGCAATGTGTCTGAATGTAGCCGTTTCAAGAAGAAAGTTGTGAGAAAATATTTTTGAATCGCTCACTCATCATGGGCGTTGCTATCAAGGCCAAACTGAACTGATTTGCCGTATGTCTGCCGAAGTTCGGCACTTGGAACAAATTTTTGAACCAGCTGAACTTGAACTCGTAAAGTGAAGAAACTTGATCGCGGAAAGCATCAAAAATATTACCATTTCTATGCGAGATATTGTGCTCTTGCGGTTTGAAGCATCACTGCTAAGTAAAATATTCAAGACGTAGCTGCAGCCGAATCTAAAGTTAGTGTTACACAGCAGGAAACACTGATACTCATAGGAGAGCTACTCAACAGTAACGAAAAAGAATCAAAACCAAGAGGTTTTCGCTCTCCCTACAAAGCAACAATGTCCAGTCCTTACCCAAAACGGATCATGCTTATTTTACGGTCTATTTCTCTTACCAGCTAGAGGCTATAATGTAAGTATGAAGCGTCAAAGGGGCAGGGAACCCCACACACGTTTACAGATGTTTACAAAATGTCAAAAAATTGTAGTAATCTGACTCCTAATATGTATAATCAAAAGGGTTTCGTGGAAAAGACGAGTTGGTACACAGAAAAAAGATGATATCGTGAGGCGTTACCATTTTAGAAATGCCCTCAGTGTTGAGTGCGGCAGCGTCCAGGGCCCACGGCCGCGCTGATTGAAAGTATGCCCAAACTATTGGGTTGACCCATAATTTCTGGCCGAATTTCAACACTTTGATTTATTCAAGTTTTATCTTTCCTGAACAATTGATCAAAAACATAACCACCATCATAATCACTGATATGCCCATTTGCTAGGGAACGAATGGATGCATTCCTCCCAGAACGAGAGAAGCTGTGAGATGAAAAGCTCGGAGAGGTCGTTTTTGGGGTGGTTGTATTTACTGACTTTTTCTCTCCTAGCTGCTGCTTCAGGGGCTGAGGAGGTGATAGTACGATGGAGCAATGTCAGGGCTATACGATAGATGTGGTGTCGTGGTCCAGCCAGTTTCCCTCGAAACGTGGCGAGTTATCTTTGCAATGTGTGATTTCGGGCGGTCCTCCGGATAAAGGAGATTTTGAGACTTTTCCAACCGTCCTCCCGCACTGCTGCGGCCAACTTTGGAAGCTATTCCATGGTTACCTTCGCAATGCTTGTCTGCATAAAGTGAAATGGTTCTCAAAACGGGATACCCAGCGAATCCAACAAAACGGGGGTCACACCTCTGATGAAACAGCTCGGGTTTTGGTTGATGTGCTGCGTCCAGGCTGCGAGGTAGCCACCGGGCGAGCCGCGTGTTGTTATCGTAGGGGACTCATGACTCATCTGCACTGGTGACCAACCAGGGAATGTCTTGTCTATACGGTCGCAGAATGAAACTTCTGCAGATGGTCAGGCGTGCTTCTCGGTCATGGTCAGTCCATGCATGCTGTTTCCATCGAGGCTTCATTCTGCTACAGCCCCTTCCATTCAGGTGACTCATGGAGCGTAGGCTGCGCCCAGATGTTTGCTACAGTTTCCTGCTAATAGCGTCCGGATGCACTTCCTATTCGTAGCGCAAGGGTCCTCATCGTGACTGGAGGTCCGTGATGAGGTCGAACTTTGCAGCTCCTATCGCCTTTGCCGATGCTATTGAGCCAATAGCTCAGTGCCCGATCAGTAGCAAAGACTGGGGCAAACGTAGCGCTGATCTTGCCTACCGCGCTCCTTGCAAGGTTCTTCTTAAAATTGTCGCAAGGCAAAATCGTTGGGTTTGGTTGTTGATCTATTTTGATTCCTACTTAATTATCCCTTGCGCATTTGAGCTTCTGAAACATCCTGGCTGAAGGTCCTGATGTGTTCTTCAACATATTAACTTATTTCATCATGAAGCTAATTTGACATGAAGAAAATTGAATTTGAACCAAAATCGGCCAGAAATTATGGGTCAACCCAATACATTGCAATTATATGTACGAGTGCCTATCGGATGGATGTTCTTGATTGCATCTAACCACTTTGGTTACTCACAGCGTCACTTAAATTCAACAAAAGGCTCCAACAGGACCACTTATTATGACCATGTTACCAGGAGCATGTCTTCTTTTCCTTTGAATGTTCTCCCTTTCGCATAAATGCTAAAGCTAATGTGAAGGAAATAACTTGTTTGCCAAGTTGTTTTAGGCCTTGTATCCAACACTATAGTGACCTTTCACACCATTAATTAGCTAGCTAGCGCTCAGTAGGACTAATTAGTCCTACTGAGCGCTAGCTAGCTAATTAATGGTGTGAAAGGTAAGGCTGAGTCTGCATGACCTTATCAATAATCGTTGAATCGGAAAAGGTTGATTCCACGATGAAATCGTTCTTATCAAATTGATTCGATCTGAAGATCAATTTCCGGCTCTGGAGTCGAAGCCTGCAACTTGGGCATTCTGCCAAATTTTTCACGGGATCCTTCACTGAAATGTGATCTGCACGAACCAGCTCTCTTCTGTGGTGCACAACTTTATAATAGTCAGGAACCTGGCCTGATCGTTCGACGCTGTAATTTTGTATGTGTCTGGAAAGGCACTGACGGAAGGATCATTGTCGTGATAGAAAAACTATAATTGGCGTGTTTTGATGTGCGAATGGAAACACTTGTATTCTACGGGATATTCTTGTTCTCTTCCGAATCCACGTTTGGCTGGGTACTAAGAGTCAGGGAATCAATGAATGGTCCGGCACCTCCTCACCAGTGATACTGATTACACTCCTTCTGACTTGTCGTGATCAGGTTACTATTAGGTTGGTCCATAAGTCTTGCAATAAATTACATATAATGTTAGAGAATTTTTTTGAGAACTTCCAAAGTTTCAAACATGTTTTTGACGTAGCATCCACCTTTGCGAATTTCAGCCAACGACCAGCTCGTTGTCTCGCTTACTTATTATGGATATTACACCGATTTCGCGGAAAGCTCTCGTGCCCTTAATTTTTACGAGTACTGCTTGGAATGTTCCGCAAGTCATGCTACACCAAGGATTGGCCAGAAGATGGGCGAGGGCACGCTCTCTCAATTCACGGTGCAACGGCGCTTCACTCTGCTCAGCGTTGACTTTTTTATTTGAAGATGAACCCACACTCCAACCACCCTGTGACTGACAATCACGATGCTCTATCTGACGCTGTTGAAAAGGGATCTGGATAGAGTATCGATCATTTGCTAGAGCGATTCCGATGCGACAAGGAGACAGCACTGTGGCATCTCCAAAGACTTGTGAAGATCCGAAAATATAGTTTGGTCCCCACATGCCTTGAGCCCGAATTCAGCTCCAAACACGATCTGACATCGTCATGTTCAAGTCGACTTACTATGGATTCTTCGATTGACCATCCATCACATTTGCCGAAGATGAGGAGTGGGTACAGTGTGCTAACAAATGAACAAGCGGCGATAGTCCAGCTCAAACGCTTCGGGAGTTCTTACTGCTCAAGTTCAACCTCGTCCAAGTAGGGCCTTCTCGGATTCTTCTTGGAACACAAGAGGAGCAGAACAATGGAAACCCCTACGTGCAGATGTTGTAGTCAACGAGGAAGTCGGCACACCACCTCTTGAGGAAATCCAAGGAAATTTAGGGACTCTTGGACGGAGAATTCTTCCGTATCCACCTTATAGCCCTGTTGTGCCAAAGGTGCCCCCACCTGCTTCCCTCTCCAGACCACCTCCTAGAGAAGAAATCTCATCCTAACCATCATGATGTCAAAATCGACATCTGATCTTTCTTCGATCAGAATTCAGTGGAGTTCTACAAGAGAGGCATCGAACAGCTTCTAGTGCGTTGGCAATAGGTTGTAGATATTGATGGTGTGTAGCATGCTGGATGAATGGAACAAAAAGATAATAAAAATATTAAAGTCAAAATTTAGCCAGTTTGTTGCAAGACTTATGAACCATCCTAATAATATGAGGATTTCATTCCCCAGAATATTCCCCAAAATTGACGCCATTATTTTTAAAAAGGCACAACTAGACTCTTCGCTAAAAGGAACTCTTTACAGCCGCTTTTGGTTCAAACTGGTCTCAAAACCAGTCGGGTCTTCCTGCTCTTCAAGCTTGAGTTCGGCTTCTTGTAAGAGCGTGTTCCACAATGATCGCGAGATTCTCGACGTTATTGCGCAGCACTTTGACTTTCATGTAACCGGAAGGAAAATTCAAAATGTGAGCGTTTTTGCGAACTAGACGATCTTAATTTTCTCGCCTCTGACAACATTTCTAAAAGGTCTCGGGTGTAGGAAGCAAGTAGGAAGCGAACCATTGAGAAATGAACTATTCTCCTGTGGGGTTAGTAATGCTTTTTCGCATTTAACATTGCTATTTATTTCCGTTAATGATCGTAACAGAGGAGCGGACCCTGATGTGGAACCGTTCAGAAGTTACCGCCGCGTTCTTGCAGTCTGCTTCGGCATTTATTTTAAGTCGTCTTTAAATCACATTCGTTGTACTCCAACTGGTGTGCTTCCATTTGATCAGCCGTACTTCCCATCGTGTCTGGTCTCTTGTCATTAACTTATTTGCGTAGATCCACTTGCGCTTTCTGGCTTCGACAGACAGCGTCTTTTATTTATTCCTTGCTCGTGTTGCTGCGCTCGATACCTTATCGCGAAGTCGAAGGCCTAACATTTGGCGCTCCATTCGTCGTTGGCATTTTCTTATACGATCCTCTGCTGTTTTGTTATGGATCCACGTTCACATCCATACAGTAGAGTTGGTATCACGCATATGTGAAAGAAGCGTCTTTTGGTCACAAGCGGCGTCATACAAGTCTATTGAGCCTAGCTGATAGACCATCGACCAGTGTCTTCATGATCAGCGTCAGGTTGAACACTAGTGGAGATATCGAATCGCCTTGCCTGATTCCTCTTTGGATGTTGATCTC